GCGCGGCAGGAGGTGAGCGCGGCAGCCTGTAGAAACGCCGGTTAATTATCTGGTGTGGAGATGGAAACGAGCCCGCTGCGCGACCGTTGCCTGTCCCGCGGGGTTTGTGAGGCGCGGGTGTGCCGCAGCTTGGAAACACGAGGTGTGCCGCGTCTTTGTCCTGCCTGCGTTGATCTGCGGCGCCGCGCAGCGCTGCTGCCCTCCTGCCCCGTCCCGCTCCGTGGGGCGCGCCAGCTGCCCCTTTCCCTCTAGAAACGGCGAATTTGGGTCATGAGTTCAGCAGTTAAAATGATGATTTTACCACTTCCTGTTTGCACAGGAAGCTGCTGCTTTTTTTTTTTTTTAATAACTGATAAGTTGAATCCTCCAGATTTTGTCAGAACAAAAAGAAAAACAAACTATTTAAAGCTGAAAAGAGGCTTGGATTCCCAAATCAGTTTGCCACTTCTGTCTCACAGTGCATGGTTTTAAATTAAAGGGAAAGCCACACAACTTGCTCCTGTGCTAGTCAGCTTCCTGTAGTCGCTGGGCTGTGATAACAATCTGAAAAAATATTTTTCTCCCTTGCTGTAGAGGTAGACCTTTCTTTTTTCTCTTGGTTAGTTGGGTTGGGCTTTTCTGAGAAAGGATATTTTTTTCTTTTTTTTTTTTTCTAAAAAGATTCTATTTAGTACATTTGGTCCAGGAAGTAGGTGATCATTTTTTCGCACTGTAAAACATGGAAACACAAATGAAGAAAAAGCATTTTGTGCAGGATCGTCACAGAGTGACTACGACACTTCCACTCGTGCAGTGGTGCTTGCGGGAAAGGAGCCAATCAATCTGGTGGTCAGCATGGATGCTGAACAGCAAGGAGGGGAGATATTGATTGCTGCCAAGTTAAATGAAAAGAAATGAGAGGCCTTTCACATAATGTAACAAGCGACCTAAAATGTGCCCTGCAAATCATGAGCAACATGCAGAGCATTTAACAACTGTTGTCTGTTTTGTTTAAATGCAAAATATCTTTTAAAAACCGATGTTAATGCTGGGTTTCACATTTTCAAAGACTCGAGCAGTCGTTTTTATAGGATCTGACTTTGTGCAGGGTAATCAGTTGTTGCTGTTCATGTTCTTAAGACCCATCAGCCACAGCACGTTACCTTTCAGACATTTCAGTTGCACAGAGCAGGCCTTGGTGCTTGTAGTGGGAAGCAGTAAAGGTATACAAATATATGCCTGTATATCATCTGACCTGAAGTGAGAAACTTTCTGTTTTGATGCTGAAGAAATGGATCATTTCAGTACGTAACCATTGAAATAACCTTCCTGAGTGGAACGATGGGCAATGTGGGGCATGCAACAAAATATAATGAATGCACAAACCTTTTGATAGTCTGTATGTCATAGTGCGATTGCTGTTAAATAGTAAAATAATCTGTTCTCCAAGCAACAATAGTGATTTTGTTTTTGTTTTCTTGTAGGAATGTTTACCCTTGCAGAAGTTGCATCGCTTAATGACATTCAGCCAACTTATCGTATCCTGAAACCATGGTGGGATGTATTTATGGATTATCTAGCTGTTGTTATGTTAATGGTTGCCATTTTTGCTGGAACCATGCAGCTAACCAAAGACCAGGTGGTCTGCTTGCCAGTTTTGCAGTCTACTGTAAATTCAAAAGCACAACCCGGCACAACAGGGAAGGCTGATGTTACCACTGTTGAAACAACCACTGGTCAAGGAGAAGACGCATCGATGAGAACGGTTTCCTTTGGAAGTGCCCCTACTGTAACACCTGATGTACCTCTGAGCAGAGCTACCTCTTCTCAGTATCAGCCCACTGAATCGGGTCAGGAGCTGAAGAAGGAGCAGAAAGATTCTTCAGGCCGTAAAACCAATTTGGATTTTCAGCAATATGTATTTATTAACCAGATGTGCTACCATTTGGCTCTTCCTTGGTATTCAAAATATTTTCCCTATCTTGCTCTCATCCATACTATTATTTTAATAGTCAGCAGCAATTTTTGGTTCAAGTATCCCAAGACTTGCTCAAAGATAGAGCATTTTGTATCCATATTGGGGAAGTGCTTTGAGTCCCCATGGACTACAAAAGCATTGTCTGAAACGGCATGCGAGGACTCCGAGGAGAACAAACAGAGGTTAACTGGTGCCCAGTCTCTGCCCAAGCATGTTTCCACTAGCAGCGATGAAGGAAGCCCAAGTGCTAGCACTCCCATGATAACGAAGACTGGCTTGAAATTTTCAGCTGAAAAGCCAGTGATTGAGGTTCCCAGCATGACTATTTTGGATAAGAAAGATGGAGAGCAAGCCAAAGCGCTGTTTGAGAAAGTCCGCAAGTTCCGAGCCCACGTGGAGGACAGTGATTTGATTTACAAGCTCTATGTTGTCCAAACTGTCATCAAGACTGTCAAGTTCATCTTTATTCTCTGCTATACTGCAAACTTTGTCAACGCCATTAGTTTTGAGCACATCTGCAACCCAAAAGTGGAACACCTGATTGGCTACACGCAGTTTGAGTGTACACATAACATGGCTTACATGTTAAAGAAGCTGCTTATCAGCTATATTTCTCTCATTTGTGTCTACGGTTTTATCTGTCTCTACACGCTCTTCTGGCTGTTCCGAATACCTTTAAAAGAATATTCCTTTGAAAAGGTCAGAGAAGAGAGTAGCTTCAGTGATATTCCTGATGTCAAAAATGATTTTGCATTTCTTTTGCATATGGTAGATCAGTATGACCAGCTGTATTCTAAGCGATTTGGTGTCTTTTTGTCAGAGGTAAGTGAGAACAAGCTACGGGAAATCAGTTTAAACCATGAGTGGACTTTTGAAAAGCTGCGGCAGCATGTTTCCCGTAATGCGCAGGAGAAGCAAGAGCTGCACCTCTTCATGCTGTCAGGGGTCCCTGATGCAGTGTTTGATCTGACAGATCTGGATGTGTTGAAACTGGAGCTGATTCCTGAAGCAAAAATCCCAGCAAAAATCTCCCAGATGACAAATCTTCAGGAGCTTCATCTGTGCCACTGCCCTGCGAAGGTCGAGCAGACTGCCTTCAGCTTCCTCCGGGACCACTTGAGATGCCTTCATGTGAAATTCACAGATGTTGGAGAAATTCCTGCATGGGTGTATTTGCTAAAAAACCTCCGTGAATTGTACTTGATAGGCAACTTGAACTCTGAAAACAATAAAATGATAGGGCTTGAATCTCTCAGAGAGTTGAGACATCTCAAAATTCTCCATGTGAAGAGCAATTTGACCAAAATTCCCTCCAATATCACGGATGTGGCACCACATCTAACAAAACTAGTCATTCATAATGATGGCACTAAGCTTCTGGTACTGAATAGCCTTAAGAAAATGATGAATGTTGCCGAGTTGGAACTACAGAACTGTGAACTGGAGAGAATTCCCCATGCCATCTTCAGTCTCTCTAACTTACAGGAACTGGATTTGAAGTCAAACAGCATACGCACAATTGAAGAAATCATCAGTTTCCAGCACTTGAAAAGATTGACTTGTTTAAAGCTGTGGCACAATAAAATAGTCAACATTCCTTCCTCCATAACCCACGTAAAGAACTTGGAGTCACTTTATCTCTCCAATAATAAACTCGAATCCTTACCAGCCGCAGTGTTCAGTTTACAGAAACTTAGATGTTTAGATGTAAGCTACAACTCAATTGCAGTGATTCCAGTAGAGATAGGTTTGCTTCAAAACCTGCAACATTTTCACATCACAGGAAACAAAGTCGATATTTTGCCAAAACAGTTGTTTAAGTGTGTTAAATTGAGGACTTTGAGTCTGGGACAAAACTGCATTACCTCAATCCCAGAGAAAGTTGGTCAGCTGCTGCAGCTAACTCACCTGGAACTGAAGGGAAACTGCTTGGACCGTCTGCCAGCCACGCTGGGGCAGTGTCGGCTTCTCAGGAAAAGCGGGCTTGTTGTGGAGGATCACCTCTTTGATACTCTGCCCTCAGAAGTTAAAGAGGTGTTGAATCAAGACACAAGCATTCCCTTTGCTAATGGGATTTAAGCGGAGGTGACATGCTCGAGTTACTGACTTCCAGACAGCAAATGCTAAAAAGTGGGGGTATTGTAAGATCATGCATTTAGAAACAGGAACTCCTTGGAAGGCAGGATTTACTAACAGGATTATAAAAGATGTAACTGAGTGTTCAGTGTTTGCAGTGTTTTAAAAGATTATTTCCTGAATTTTTGAGAGGATAAAAAACCTTAATAATCTCCATTCTTTTTTCCTTAAATTGTTTGTAACTTGGATGCTGCCGCTTTTGAATGTTTACAAATTTGCTTGCCTGCTTAAAGTAAATGATTAAATTGATGACCTTTTCTTACTATGCAAGTTATTCTTTAAGGTCTGGATTTACTTTAGTGCATTATGGGGGAAAACCAAGGATAAATGTTGTGTACGGTATGGTTCTAACAGCCCTTGAAACACACGTTGATGTGCATTGTTAGTGTTAGCCATTCTCAGCAAATGCAACCAGTTTGGCTGTGCTTTGAACTGCAGTAAAGCCACAATTTTCCTCCGTAAAGGTATGTGGTTTGCATAAGGCCAAGTGTGTTTGCTCTCATCATTCACCCCCAAGGCCTCATGTTTTTGGATGAGGTTTGCTCTGCGATCCAGTGTGCTACTCCTCCAGACCTGTGAAGACTCATCCCTCTTCTGCAGCTGATCTCCCCCAACTTTCACAAGGCTCCTCTGTCCCAAGCAACGATGGGTGGTAAAAGGGAGAGGAGTATTGCCACGGGCTCTCAAGCGGTGACAGTCTTGACATTTGAACTGTTTTGCCAGGTGATTTTGAAAGGTCACCAGGCAAACATTAAGTACTTTACTGCTTCTGTTTTGCTCCTCTTCAGAGTTTTCAGCTGGGAGACTCGAGGCATTTTACAAGAGTTGGTGAATGTTTTGTTTTGCAGCCCTTGCTTAGGAATGAGAGTGTCTGCTCTATTTTCTAGACTAGTGGCAGTGACGTAAGAGAGTTGATTTACCCAAACGTGATTTGGCTTTATCACCTATTGCAGTGTGTCATCCACACCTGGACTCTAACAGTAGGATCACCCTTTTCCCCCAAGCTCCAATAATCTGATGTTTTTGATCACTTATGCACTGTTAGAAAACCCTAAATGTGTGCCAGATAATTCCTCAAATAAATAAAAAAGCGGACAGCAGTGAGCGTGGGATTTTCTTTTCTTTTTTTTTTTCTTTCTTTTTTCTCACTGAGTTTGCATTGCCAGGACCATTAAAGAAATATAATCCATTAAATCCGCAAAATCATCAATTGTCAATCTTAGCTGTTTACATTCCATGTGTGCAGAAAAGAAGTACTATGCTGGGAGGTGATTACATGATTATTCATGGTTTAAACACAATTCCCTATTGTAGTGTGGTCAGGACTGAACTAGTCTGTAGTTCAAGGGACTGTTCTCACACAAGAATCCTCATGCGCAGTGATTTCTACTGTAACTTCGCCAGAGCTGCCCTGACTTGTACTGCTATCAACAAGGGGATAGTTTGGGCCTACGGGCATTGAGCAGTCAGGCGCGTTTCAAGTACCGCTCTTACGAATGTTGCACATTTTATTGTTAATCATTTACTGTTAATCATGCTGGGAGGACTATTCTCAGCTGTAGGTAGTAGCCTCCAAATACATGCCTGCAGCATATGTTTATGTATATCAGAAGACCAATTTATGAGTAGTGATTTTCTCGCTTGTTTGGGGATACAGCTCTGTATGTTTTCCATTTGCCAGCAAGTAGTAAAGTTGGGATGTTCCCACTTCTGCAACACCAAACAGGTTCAGTAGAATAGTTGCAGTTACTGATCTGTTGTCTGCTGGGAAATTTAACCAAAAACTTTTTTTTTTAATAAGTAGAAGTTGTTAAAGCTGTAGTGGATTTAAAAAAAAAAAACTTTCGTATGTTTAAATTTTTGCACATAGATCACTTTAAAATTGCTGGACTATTAACCTTAGAAAAACTGTGGAATATACTATTGGTGTATGCTCTGTATTTACTGTTGACTGTCATTTCAGCTTCCGAGAAATTATGTGTAGGCAGGAGAAGGAGTTGGAGGAAGACAAAGTAATTAAAATATTTAGAAAAACAGTGCTATTTTTTCTTTTTTTTTTTCTTATTTTAATAGTGGAGTCGCACAGAATGTGGCCATAGATTGATCCTGCTTTAAAAGCTTTTTCTTGGTGTTTCTGATGCTCCTACTGCAGAGCTAGCACAACAATGTAGCACAACTATGAAATACAAAATTTGGACCACTGCTTTGACTAGTTATTAGCCAACTGTACTACTTTAGTCAACTTCTCTGAAACAAGTGCATTTGAAAGTTGATTTCAGGCTTGTGATGATCACTCAGCATAAACTGCATTCTTGATTTTAGGAGAACTTTTAGAGAGTGATGGGGTGAACTGACCATCTTCCCCGTGTCAACTCCCTCTGCAGTCTTTCCTCCTCCTCGTGACTGTTGTAGCATTCCTATTTTCTGCGTGTCATCTGACACAGTCCTGCGCTGAAGTCTTGGAAGTTCACCTCTTTTCCATGTAAGGCACGTGAAACTTCTTTTGTATATATTTGATTTAATAGGTAAGATGGTTATATCTTCCTCTTATCTGTTTTTTTAATGGGGAAAAAGTGTGTTTGCATACTCAAATCTGTGATTTCAGGTATCCTGTATGGACTTACTCTTTGGTGCCTATAAATCTAAGGAGGAGGTATGAGGAGCTGCTCCCAGCAAATCTTGTAGGTACGGTTCCTAGCAGCCAGACAGCAACTGCTAATGCTCTGTTTAGGCCAGACTAAATGATTAGAAATGTATTTGCTTGCAGAAATGCAGAATGAGAATTGACTCCCAAGCAGCTTTGGAGGATTGAAGTTTGGGATTCCTTTGAAAAGAGCTATGAAGGACTTGGCATCAGAGTTTTATTATAGATGTAGTGCAAAAAGTTGCATCCTCTGACAATGAGCCAGTCCGTTGCAGCCGTGGGGCATTTATGGCTGTTCTACCTCGTCTTAAGCTGAGGGTTGACGTTCTCGCCTTTACGTGGCTGAGCAGAGCTTGGGTGGTCTGTTTGCCCAGAAAGAAATTTTATGATGGCATATAAATAAAATGGTTCTCAAGCAAGCCTGTTGTAGAATCTTGTTAAAAGGTGATCCTTAAGATTACCAGAACAAAGAATCCAGAAAAATTATTTTCTGGTTTTAACCTTGGTTGTAATCCCTTGCCTACCACTGTGGATTGTTAAAATTGCTGCATGAACTCATGATGACTTTGTGCGGAGCTCCCTAACTGATTGGCTATTCTAGCACTACCAAAGAGTTCCCAGTTCAGACTGTCCACTTGTGCTTGTACTGTGTGTTCAGCTCTTAAACCAAAGTCATCAAACATGGATGTTGCAAAACTCTGAAGGCTTATGCTGTGACCAGTTTCCCAGGACAGCAAATCATTCCCCATGCTGTTAAAGGGAGGGAAAGCTGTGTTACTGAGTACAGTTGTTGTGTGGCAAAGATGGCACTTTAGAGTTAAGCTCAGGAATAGATTTTTCCAAGCTGATTTGCAAACATGCACCCGTTCCACGATAAAAATCATGAAAGATGTCTTTTTGGCAGAGGCGGTGAAAATAATTCCTGTAGTTCAGTGAGGCCTGGGTGCAGAAGTGGCAGCTCTCTCACAGCGCACATCAACACAATGCAGCCAAAGTGAGGATCTTTAAAACCACACGAACTGGAGTTTTGCCAGGCTGCATCTCTCCCTCCCTGAAGAGAACAGCCCCTAAGCCCTTTTACAATTACAAGAGCCAGGACCTTTGTTCTGTCTCGCCTCCAACATCACGTTGCTCCTCTATGCTGGAGGCAACGTAGGGTTTTTGGTTTAGCAATGACTGCTTGGGAAGAATGCCATCTTCTAAGTTAACACCACAGTCTCTCGCAGCAAGTCTTCCAGCATAGAGCAGGTCTGTTCTCATAAACTGAAGACACGTTGTGCCCATAAACAACAAAAACTTGAATTGGGATTGGGTTGCATAGACCATTAGAAATAAATGCATGGACGTGCTGTTCTCATAACCAGTTCTGGGTGGTTCTGCTATTTCAGGTGGATTTTTGGAATGCATTTTTAAGACCTTTCCCTAAAAACTGTCCTGCTGTGTCTCTTGAGCGAACGCTGCCGGCACAGGGTGGGTAGCTGGTCCCAGATGGCGCTGCTGGAGCTGCCGAGGCAGAGCTGGGATGGCAGAAGGGCTGGGTGGGTGCTGTGTCCCCTGCCAGCACCCTGCCTGGGCTCCCCTCTGCTGGCGGCTGCCGGATTTATCTAGCTCCTCCTAAGGTGTCATCTGTGGGAGATGCCACAAGAGCCTGTGTCCTTAGTTACAGCATCAAGGGAATGCTGTTGAATAGCACATGTTGTCAAGTGATACCTTTGAAAGGTCAGGCTCATGATAATGGGAGGAAATGCAGAATAAGGAAAGAAAACAAAAAGTAGGGAAGAAATAGTAACCTGAGAGGAGGCAGAGGTCCCCCTCCTTGAAATTTCAGAAGTTCCTGATTTTACACCTTCTTTCTAAAACAAGGGTTACAGCTGCTCATGCCTAGAGACTAGCGGGATCCCTTTAGGCACCTCAGGCTTCTTTGATAGTTTTTGCTTCCGTCTCCTAGACGTGGCCTCAGGGTGTCTGCGTGCTTTCCTTCCCCTCCTGCCCCTGTGCAAGTGTCCGCGATAAGCTCATCCCCGTCAAGCTGTCGGCGCTTATCGCAGCGTGGCGGTGCGGCAGTGGCTGCCCCCGGGCCCGGCTGCGCCTCGGAGCGCTCCGCGGGGACCCTCCTGCGCCGTCGGCGTCCGGCTCTAATCTCAGAGCTGCAGCTTCCCGGCCCCGGGTTTTTGGGGCGCTGCGTTAAGGTGCTGCAGAATCGGCGGCGTTTGGGGCGGCGGGGGGGCTCGGGGGGCCGGTCTGGCGGCAGCTCTCCTGCAGCCCAGTGTAACACCGCTGTTCCTGCAGCCCTCCGAGGGAAGGGTTTCCCTAACATCGTTTAAGTAGCAATTTCCATAGCTGCCCCCAGCTCTGTCCTATTGTTGTGTGTCGTAATAGCCACCCCCTCCATCTTCGTTGGAAATAGAGCTGGGTGTTTCTTACTCTGTAAGGGATGTGGAGAAGTCTTTTTCTTCTGATCTAGATTAAAACCAGTTCCTTCAGCCTTTTTTCATGCATTATTTGTTTTGTTTTTTTTTTTGTTTTTTTTGTTTTTTTTAACACTCTCGCCGCTCCTGTTGCTCTCTCCTGAATCCTTGCAGTCTGACAGCACTGGAGGTGCCTGTACTGGGATGGGGTGGCTCATCCGAAGCCTCGCGGGGGGTGAGCCCCGCAGAGCAGTTAGCCCCCATGTATGCAGAGTGCTCCTGCATGAGAAGTGCTGGTCCTGTGTAAGCCTCACGCTGTGCCTCGGGGCTACTGAACCTGCCTGCTTACACTCGAGCCAGGTGACCCTGCAGAAACCCTGGCTAAGCCAACTGCCCCGCTTCCACCAGAGGAAGGGAACCTGCATGCAGTTTTGCAATATAGCTTTGATCCAGTGGTTGAACAGGGAGGAGTGCCAGGGTGCTGCACAGCCTCAGCGTGCCTTCCCTCAGGGACAGGTGACTGTGCTACTTGGTTTTGCTGTTTGCCTTCTCTAAAGTGCAAGGGAGATATCTGAAGGTGGTGGTCTGTTCAGGAGCTCCTAGCTCTTGTCTATCAAAAGAGGTCTATGGACTTCCTCCCTGGTGTAGCTGCCATGTAGCTGCAAAGATGTGCTATGGATATATAACGCTGGGCAAGTAGAAACTCTGGGTATATACCCAGATTTGTAGGACTGTAAAGCACAAGATAGCTGGAAAACAGAGGGCCTTTAATGACCTCAGGTTTTAACCTATGAAAACTGGAAAATGTGCTTTAGCGAACGCAAAGGCAATCCAGGTTGTAAATTGATCCCTGACATTATAGATGTTAACGTGTAATTGAGACCTGAGAAAATACCAGTATGATCTGACCTCAGGAGAATGGGTTACTTCCCTTGGCCTTCTCTTACTAAAATCTGGGTAAGTAACTTGGCTTTAAAACTGAGTTTGTTAAAGTGGTGCAAGTCCCTGCTGTCCCTGCTAGACAGCACTAGTGTGGATGGAGAATTCACA